AGATGTTTAACACCTTGAATCTGTGTAAATGTGATGCTGTGCTCTGGACTACCTTGCTAATGAAAATAGATGGCCAAAGTTCCAACCAGAATTGAAGATTTGTTTTTTTCACACCAAGAAACATACTTGCCTCCTCAGAGTACTGAGCTGTTAGGGAAATTGGACATCTGAAATGGAGGGGCCGGCAAGGAGTTATAGGAATAAAGTGGCTGGTTCACAAGTTTTCATGGGTGTCTTCATATAAAATGATAAAAATGGGGGAAGTTAATCCTTCATGCATGAAGGGGGCAATGGCTAGAAGACCAAGGGGTTGGTCTTCAGGGACAGTGAATCACTTGTGGCTTTCCTAAGCGAAGTCTCTTAACGCCCACCGAATGACCTTTTCCTGCCTGGGTCTGGGTAAGACACTGGTAAGATTCACCTGGGAGTAACTGTGAGGAGTCATCACTGGATTGTCCTCCTGCTGTGTGTCAAATGAGCCGACTGAGAAGCAGGAGGGGGGATTTCACTGCCTGTTAGAGGCATGGTGTGTGTCCTCAGGACATGGAGATCCTTCGTGGTGAGCGTCCTTGATCCAGAAGCAGCTGTTACATTAGAGCAGCAGTAGCAGAACAAGGAGCCAGAGTTGAGGACTTCCCTGCCCACAGAGCAAGTAAAGCTGAGTGCTTTTTGGCAGAAGGCTGACATGTAGAGTGGGGTGCCTCTGGGCACTTAATTTAGGAAGCTAATAAGTTCACTGAGGTGACCCAACAGAATGTTCATATTATTGAACAATATCATCAATATCACATGCAAGTAAAATTTTGCTGAAGATATCCAACAATGGTCGCAGCAGTACATTGACAGGGAATTGCCAAAGGTTCAGAAGACGATGCTGAGTAGTGGATATCACTGCTGATGTCAGATGGATCTTGGCTGAAGGCAGAGAATACCAGAAAGATGTTTCTTTGTGTTTTTTTTCCTCATATAAACATAAATATATTTAAATATTAACTTAAGTGAATTCAAACAGACTGTTATAAAACAACACTATACACAGCTGTCTGTATAGCTCTTAGAAAACATAAAAACCAGGGCGCCACGGGGCTGGTGGTGAAAACTGCAGGGCCCAAACTTGCTCAACAATGAACTGAAGGCCACTGTAACTTAACAAACATGGCCAACTCCTTTTGCAAATGGTTTTGTCAAATGACCCCAGACAGTTAGGATTTTCTTCTTCCTCTGCCTGATTTGGTCCGTGCCCGGCTACCTGGCCGGACAGTAAATTGCTTTTTGAAGTCTACTAAGCAATCAGTGGCTTCTGAAATGGAAACAAAAGACTTGATGGGAGAGTCATTTATGTCGAGATGTGCAGGTTTCCTTGTGTTTTATTGGCTATCCAAAGACCTTCAATTGTGTGGATCATAACAAACTGTGGACAGACTTGAGAAGAATGGGCATTCCTGAACACTTCACTGTGCTCACTTGGAAACGACACATGGTGCAAGAAGCAGTTTGAACAGAACAAGGGAACACTGCATGGTTTAAAAGCAGGAAAGGGGTGCTCAGAGTGTACCCTCACCTCCTATTTAATTAAATCTGTATGCTGAGCAAATCATCAGAGAAGTTGGGTTATCAGAAGAATGTGGCATCAGGCTTGGAGGAAGGCTTACTCAGATATGCAGATGACAAAATCTCGCAAAGAGGATTTGGAAGCACTTGTTGATGAAGACCAAAGACTGTATGTAGCCTTCAGTATGGATTACAACTCAATGTAAAGAAAACTCAAATCCTCCCAGCTGGGCCAATAGGTAACATCATGATACACAGAGAAAAGGTTGAAGCTTGGATCTACACTCAGTGCTCACGGAAGCAGCAGCAGTCAAGAGCTCAAGGATGCACTGCATTGGGTAAATCTGCTGTATCAGACCTCTTCAAAGTACTGAGGCTATTACAAAAGCAAGGCTATTACTTTGAGGACTAAGGTGGGCCTTACCCAAGTCATGGCATTTTCCAATCATCTCATATGCATGTGGAAGGTGGATATTGAATACGGAAGTCTGAAGAACTGATGCATTTGAATTATGATGCTGGTGAAGAGTAATCAGAGTACCATAAACTGCCAAAAGAGCAAACAAATCTGTCCTGCAAGAAGCACAATCGGATGCTCTTTAAGGCAAGGATGCCGAGACTTCGTCTCACATACCTGGGCCATAATGTCAGGACAGTTCCCGGAGAAGGACATCATGGCTGGCAGAGTAGACGGTTAGTGAGAGAGAGGAAGGCCTTTGACTAGATCGTGGTTCAGCACACTGATGGGAGTCAATCCTGTCTCTCACAACAATTTAAAGGTTACTTGAGAGCCATAAACATATTTCTACAAATAAATGAAGCCACCATGATCTGAATACAGTCCTTTACAATGGTTCAATCTTACTTCAGAGCCGCATGTACACACGAAGAGTTTGCTGACCCTGGGACTAGATGGATTGACACAGTGCTGCAACAAGGAGTTCAAACTCACGACTCACTGGGAAGATGGCATGGGACTGTGCAGTGTTTCGTTCGGTTGTTCACAGGGTGGCTATGAGTTGGGCTGGCTCGAGGGCCCCCAACGACAGCACCCACAGAGCTGGAGCGGAGTGCCTTTGGCAGGAGGCGTGGAGTGAGGTGGCATGCTCTTTGGACATGTATTAGCAGCCCTGGATGGACTTTGTATTATGTCCTGACTAAACAACTGCATCCTACACATTTCTCACCTGCATAATAACTTCTTACATTCCACGAGAAACCCTCTAATCACGAGCACGTCTGCGAGCTGTGTGGCACGGCAATGAATTATGGAATCTTGACGCAAACGTAAGAAGGCTGTTGAGGCAAGAACACACTATGCTTCCAGCTAAGATCCATCTCATCTAACCGATGGCAGCCTTCATTTCCATGTCCTCGTCTGAATCCACTTTAAATTTCTGGCAGTTCCCGGTTGATTTACTGCTGCAACCGTTTTAAAATGATTTCAATGACATTTTAATTTGCAGGTGGTATTAGGATAGTGTTTGAAAATGTCCGCATTCTGAATCCTTAATGATGTTTATTGTCAATTTTAATAATCGAGTATGTGACATATGCTTAAATTATTTCTTAGGTTATGTAAATACTAACAACAAAATTGTTTTTATAAAATCTCTTTACACTGAATCACGATTAGTCACATTATTAGTAACTGAGTTTCTTATTTTTATTCTCACTTCATTCTCAAAAAAGTTATTGCTGTAGGTTCACAAGTATTAATTACCACAATATTATAGCTAGCACACAGAAAACTGGGCAAAGTTAGCAACCATAAACACACTGGTAGCACTTGCTTGTTGTCTATGCAGATGAAACCTACTTGTAATACACTGTGAGGTTTAAAAAGAGCTTAAATTGTGATCACCTGGTTTGCAGAAGGCTGTGACGATGGAAGCCCAAAATCCATTTGCAGAATTCATACATGGATTAAGCCTTGGAGAATCCCCTCTGATCATTGCTGAGGGATGTGAATATCCTGGTATCAGACAGAGAGCATTGTAAAGTTGAATATGGCAGATATAGGGTATAACGTAGTATCATTTGATCTCCCTTTTGATTAATTTTACAGTTGATTCTGTTTAAAAAAAAAAGGGGGGGGGTAAGAGAAATACAAATGGATTAAGCTTCTGGTGAATTCCCTCTGACCGCAGACTAGGGATGTGACGAGCCTTACTATTAATGCAGAATGCATTGTAAAGTGGATTAATATCGATAGGTTAAATTTAATACTTCATCATTTGGTCTTTTTTTTTTTTTTTTAAGTACAAAAATAAAAATTTACTCAGAATGACAAACCATATACTATACCTCCCAAAAGTTATAAATTAGGTTGTTTTAAGTAGGAACTACCTGGATGGCATATAACAGACAGACCCTAGGAAGGAGTTCTATTCTATACT